CGTCACGTGGCCGTGCCGCCGTGCCCGGCCCGCTGGCGCCCCCCAGCGGCCGCCCGGCCCGGCCCCGCTAATTGCGAGAGTTAATCACTACGGCCTCGCGACACCGCCACCCGTCCCGGCTAAAACAGCAACCTCCGCTACCTTCAGCAACAGCCTGAGCAGGTGTTATAGCCAAAGGTGCCAGTCAGAAACGGAAAATATTAATGAGAATCTATAAATGTGTATTTTCCCGCCACAGAAGCAGCACTAAAGCTGCACCAGGCACAGGCTAACTGATTTACTAATCCGATACGCTTGGTTTTCAGATCAGTTTTCTGATATATTTATTTGAACTTTCCTTTACACTTCCATGGCTCTACCAAACATAAGCTTCCATTTAAAATAATCCAAGTCTTCCAAAGAAAACACAAGTCCCCCAGGTGAAATTTATATGAACCTCTTGTTAGGACAATCTCCAAATCAAGTTTGTGAGGGTATTTTTTTTCTTTCAGCAAGATTTTGGGATTCCCACAATTCTCGTGATTTACGGTGCGGAACAGACACAGCAACATTCCAAATATCAGTTTCCCGGCAGCTGAGTTTTATCTCAGCCCATGTTTGTGACAAAACAGAACGGCGCACCTGCCTCATAAATACAACTTTATCTTTGTAGTCTAAGGCCACACAGCTCCCAGCAAACATTTAACTAAGACCTCTTTAAGTACCAATGTGAACCGTGCCCTGGCCCCGCGGGAGCAGCACTCACCCATGGTGACGTAGGGCAGCTTGTCGGTCGATCCGTGGGGGTGGATGCTGTACAGGTGGGGGCCTGTGACATCCACTCCCCCCAGCACCAGCGCGGCACCGATGTAGCCCTGGTACCTGGGAGCAATGTTTGGCTGTGAGTCTGAAGCTGTTCAACACAATACAGGCATTTGGGAACTGCTCTGCAACCACCTGGGTACAGCTCTGTACTAAACAGGCTACTTTTACCAGCTGGCAGCAAGCAAAGAAATGTACTAAAATATGGCTTATATTTCAGTGTCCAGCAGACTTTTTGAGGCAATGATTCCGTTACAAATCAGAGGAAACTGTTTCACAAGCTTGCACATTTACTCTACTACTGGTCCAGCCCTCTCAACACAAGGATACACAGTAGTTTTCATGGATGCAACTGTGCATTCTATTTTTGTTGTGTGATCATTGCATTAATTCTCTAAAACACCACAGACTCCACTTCTCTTCCAGCTCAGTTAAGAAGCCCATGAAGCAAAGAGCAATTATGAAATCTTTCCTGAAGTCTCATTATGGAGGTTAAGCAAGCTGAGACAGGATGCTCCTTAAGCATTATTATTTGGGGGCTTTAATAAAAAACTGTTAATAAAGAAGAAATCCACTCAGTTACCTGAACAGCATCTGCTTGAGCATCCGATTGGCCGTGACAACTCGTGGGAGCCGTCCCGTGGACAGGGAGTGGAGCTCCAGGTTGGAGGAGATCAGCTGAGTTGTCATCTCAGTGTCTGCAGCTGTTCCAGCACCGCAGCAGCTGAGGAACATGATGAGCAAATGAGAAAAAGGAGACAGAAACCTCACGCAACTAGCAAAAATTTTCTCATTGTAAAATTGAGGGAATTAAGTTCTCACACAGAGAGCATGGAACAAGAGAGCCTGCTTAAGTGTAAATAGAATGCCATGAACCTTACTAACAAAATATCATTTTGAAACAGGGCTTAATATTTGCTGTTAGTAAAGAACACAGCTAAAAATCCCAGTACCGACATCATTATGCAATAACGTACACAATTAACAATTTACTGCCCAACAAAAATCCACAATACTTACTAGATATTAGGGGAAATGAAGTGTATTTTGGAACAGTTCTTGTCAGCAACAACCATCCCCTCAGTTGCTCTCGTATCCGCTCCGAGCACGATGCCATCCTGCAGGAAGAGAGAATGATTCCCAAAGCCGCGACTTCCGCAGGAGGCAGCTCGGGGCTTCGGGATGAGGCCGGGCACACCGGGGGTGA